TAAGTGGATCTGAAATTTCAAAGAAAAATCAAGAGATATAAAGCAGTAGTTTATAATTTTCTTCGATCAAAAAGACCAGAAATTTGCACTCATCAACAGTAAAGAATGTTTGCCAGGAGAGCTTGCCAGAAAAAAAAATAATAAACTGCAAATGAGGTTAGACAAAATTTGAATTTTCCATGCTCATCAAGGACTGTTCAAAATGTTTTAAATAAACATCCTCATCCTTTTGTATGGAAAATTAGTATCACGTCACTTCTTACAAATCAACATAAGAGATGAGTTTACTTTGCTAAAAAAATACATTTCTCTCCGTCAAAACTGGACTGATGTCATTTTTTTTCTGATGAAACCTGGTTGATGATTTTTATTACTTTTAGTTTAGTCCAAAGAAGCATTTTCCAAACTTAAATATGATGGCGGTTCAGTGATGGTTTGAGGCGCTTTTGTGGCAAATGGAACCTCTTTAATAGTATTTATCAAAAGTAAAATTAATTCCAACATATATGCTATGCGAAACTTTGTTACCAAAAGAGCCACTAATTACTTCAGAGGACTATATTTTTCAGCAGGATAATGCTGCGATACACGTTTCTAAGAGCGCGAAACACTGGTTTGAAGCTTGTTCTGTAAATTTAATTGATAGGCCGGCTAGGAGACCCGATCGTAATCCAATCTCTTTAGACGTTTGTAAAAATGGCACCCAATATCAATGCAAACAGGATTTTGTCTACGATGTCAAAGACACGTGGGAAAAAATTCTGTGGACGGTATTAGAAATCTTTCAGGATTCATGAAAACGCAGCTTATTTAAGTGATTGAAAAAGTTTTCTTGATTATCGATGTAGTTTTGAATATGTCCTTTTTCCATATTCCCTTTCGTGTTAATTTTTGTAAAATTCATATTTCAAAGCCAAATTTTATTTTTTATGCACTATTAGTGTTAATCCAAAATTATGTAACTGAAGTCAAACAAATAAAAATTTCATATAGATTAAATAAAAAAAATCATTTAATTTAATGCTGTTATACTTTTTCGCACACTGCAGTACGTAAAAATCCGATCGTTAGACCAAAAGTTATTCAGGACTTTCATTGCTTTCTCGTTTCGCGCGCTGTTTTTAATTTGTTGAAATGATTTCGAAAAATTATCCGACTAGAATTTTTTTTTAACTTAAGAAATATAAATATGAACTTAAATTTTGTTGTCAATATAATATAATTTTAAAATTGTGAAAGTGATGCCCCTGATGAATGTGATATTTTAAAGTGATGCTTTTAAGTTCAAGGCGTGAAAAAAATCATTACTTTCATGCAATAAAAAGACGTATTTTTTAAAGTAAATTCTTATTCTAAATTTTTATTTTCAGTTTCCTTATTTTTTAAATCTTTCTTTATATTTTAAAATGGTACAAACAAATATACAGTGCGTAAAAAAAAATTGACGACCCTGAATAACTTTTGATCTAATGATTGGTTTTTCCCGTTCTAGGACTCAATCTTAATGGCTCAAGGGGGTGACTTCAAGTATGTTTATTCATAACTGAAGACAATATTTTAAGTTACAAAAAAAGACACAAAAATGTACTTTCTTCAAACAAAAATAATTTTTTTTGACGGTTCCGATTTCTGACCTATATAATATAGAAGGTAGCCGCAATCTGATAAATATGGTCATAATAATTTGTTCAGAAGAGAGCTTCAAAGTTTGGGCCCCCTAATGTTAATTTTACTTTTCCATATTTCTCTATATCTCGAGCTGTGTTAAAGCGCATTGAAAACTTTTTACACAAAATTATAAAATTTGTTTACACAAAGGTAATTCCATGCACCGACTGATTTTGCTCAAATTTTGTATCTTGCCAAGTAAAATTGCATTCTTTAAAATGATACCGAGTAATTCAAAATTTCTTCGACCATTCCTAATTAAAATAATAAAAAAAAAACATTTACTAAAACTTTTTTTTTGCCGGAAATTATATTTGGATGAACAAATTTTATAATTGTGTGTAAAACGTTTTCAATTCGCTTAAAAAATCTTGAGGTGTAGTGAAATACGCAAAAAAATAAAATTAACATTAAGGGGTCCAAACCTTAAACCGCTCTTCTGACCTAACTATTGGGACCATATTTCCCAGATGGCGGCTTTCTCCTACATTTTGGGGGTCAGAAATCCGAATTCATTGAAAAAAAATTTATGTTTATTCTGAGAAGGAGCATTTTCGTTCCTGAATTAGTAACTTAAAATATCGCTGTATGTTAATGGCAGCTTTGGTTAAGAAAAAAAGGATAATTTTGGTCAATAAAACCATAGTATTTGTGGATAATAAAACTGCATTTAAATTTATTTTTATATTTTTTCCCTTAATATGGTTATAATTTGCCGGAAACTCTGGTATTAAAAATGTTTGTTTTTATTACCACACTTTTGGTAAAAAAAAAAAAACAAGAGTGAGGAAATTTTTTAACCAAATAAATGGATTCTATGCTATTCTCTAAACTATCACGATAAAGTTACCAAATTTTATCACACATTATGTAACCATATTTTATTTTTCACTTTTATCAAAATCTCTACCAAAACGCATTGATTAAAACTACCAAAGTTTTGGTGTTCCCATAGAGCCAGTAACGTGGCTAATTTTATCATATTCTGGTTGTTTTGATCCTACTTATTGCCAAAGTGCAGTTCCATAAAAGTCTACTCATGTCTTATAATCATAGGCTATTTATAGCATCAAAATAATTATTTAATATATCTTATATACTAAATACATAATAAGTTTAGGAATTCTATAACTGTTTCAGCGATTTATTCTAAGATTTATAAATTTTATTACATCTCATTTATTATAATATTAATTTATAATTATAACTGTTTTTTAATATCTCATGCGATGTATTCAATACCTATAACAAAAAAATGCGAATGAACATTTTTTTAAATAAAAGAATTGATCTCTTTTTTTGACGTAAAATAATTGCATCCTTATTGTATGAATATCGCAGTATTTACTATTATGTGTGTTTATAATTTTTCATTGGAATCTGAACAGAATTATCAATATAGTAACGTTAAAAATAATTTTCTGTGAATATACCTTCATTAAACAAATTTAATTTACAGTAATATGTGATTGCAAAATAACTAATGATGCATATTTTTAAAAATCTAACTCTATACTCTAAATTCATTTTTATACAAATGTATAGGTAAGTTATTCTATGATAAGAAATAGCAATTTCTAAGTGCATACTTTCTTTTCTTTTTAATTATCTAAAGAACGTTTGTTTTTGATTTCATAGATGAAGTTTTCTTTTTATAATTTTAAGTCCCAAAACTTCGTTATTAAATGTGTTTAAAAATCATATTATTATATTTTGTAAAATATTTTACGGGATACAAATATTTATTTGTTAAAAATTAATGATATATTAAAATAATAGAAATAGGCTCAAAGCTTTTGTTTTCTTTGTCATTTATTGCATGCTCTTTTTGACTGAATGCTTGGAACTGTTGCCCCATTAACGCGACTGATATTTCTAAGGAAAAAAATCATTCCCATAAAGTTGATTTAATAAACATGCACAAAAATAATAACATAATAAAGAAGTAGCTTTCAGATTTTTGTCAGAAGATACGGAGAAGTTTGATGTGGTTAGTCTAAACGTTTAGTTTAACGGAGAAGTTAGACATTAGATATTTATTAAAAAAAGACGTAATATTTAATTTCTTCTTTTGAGAAATTTCCATTGAACCATATTACTTTAAGAAGTTTAGACACGAGTGTTTTCGTAAAAAATTGGTTTTTAGAAGGCGAAAATATTATAACAATAATTTAGAAAATTTAAGTATATGAACTAATAAATATATTTGCCTTTGACGCAGAAGATTTTATATTCATGCTCAATATTTGTACCCTTGGACGAAAGACGTTGCACACATGAAAAAATATTCGAAATAAACCCAGAAGGTAAAAGAACTTAACTATTTAATGAAGTATTTGAGTACTTTTTAACGAACTATTAAGCATAAATATTCATAGCTTTAAGTAACCGACAGCCTTTTCAAAACCAATTTTGACTGAAATGTCAATTTCGTTTTGCTTTCGAGATAAAATAAAGCTATGGACCTATCTCTTTCAAAAACATTTGAGTTTTCTTTCTACGTGAAATGGAACAAAAATTATGATCATTTAAAAGAAAGAACATTTATATTAATTATTAAATTGATACTATGTCTTTTTTTTTAGATATTTCTTAGAACTATTTTTTTAGTTATCTTCCTTCATTTTAAGTGCAATATCTTAAAATATTTTAGTTCAAATTATTTGGAATTTTTCCTGAATGCTTTCTTTACATAAGTCTAGGGATTACGGACTAATAAATTAAACTATTATTTTATGTTTTATAGCTAATGTAAAAGTAATTAATCGCATTTTTTAGCCTTTTCTGTTAAATAAATTTCGATGTATGCTTTAAATTATCTAAATGCAAATATTGTGTATAATGCTTCGTCTATTCCCTAAGTTTTGAGTTTATAAGTATTGTGAAGCTGGAATAATGAAAAAAATTGAACAATGTTTCATGATTTTGAAAAAAAAGTCAATTTTTGGTCTTTTTTTATTAGTTTTTCCCCTGAATTTTTTGAATATATTTTTTTTTCATATTTTTTTAGTTTTCATACCATGTTTAAAGTATTATACACGCGTCTAAATGAATATTTATTTTATAAAAAATTAAAAACTTTGTCTTTCAAGATATTAGGTGAACTTAAATTCCTACTCTTAATTGAAAATTTTCTGTTTTTTGTCTTTAAGAAAATAGATGAAATCATTATCCGTTTGAATTATAATTTTTTCGAAAAAGCACTGTAGAAAAGGATTTTGTTCACATCAGCTCACTTAATAATACTCAAAACTTTGCACTATACATGAAAACTTCATAAGACTGGAAATGTAAGTAAGGAAATTATTTCTAAGAAAAAAATTAAAAACAAATTTAAAAATTATGAGTTTATTTATAAAATCAATGCAACTATGACTAAATTTGAATGTAACAGAATGCTTACTATTTACAAACTGAGCAATGATCAATTTAAAAACAGAAATATCAGTTTCAACAAAAGAGAACAACTATCACTATCATAAACTTCGATCAATGACTTCTGAGTTTCCTTCCATACGATAATTGTTACTTATTGTCTCTGATATCAATCACAGATTCTTATATATTTCCGAGGACGGTATCCAAAAGTTTGGCGATTTGGGACTTGCTTTCTCCACCCTTTGGTGTGGTGCCACTGGGCTTCAAAATAGCTTTGCATTGATCGCTTTCTGAATCGAATTGTTGGCAGACAATGTCGGGTAGGTCGGTGGTTACACTTTTCATGAGGTTCTTAACCATCAGAACAGCATCTTTTCCGCAGTCTCTCTCAGTATTGGCATCAATATTTTTGTGGAATCGATGGAAAGAGCTGGAAAAAAAAGTAGAAATGATTTAGTGAAAAGAATAAAATCTATAAAATTCTTATCATATTTTACAAATCATTTAAAATATTAAATGTTATTTTCAATACAGTCAAGGTAAAATAATAACCTGCTACTGTTTCGTAATTTAATTGTAATTTTAAGGAAACGAGGTACAAATATATGATTTCAATTTAGGTTTCTTTTAATCAAAATGTCTAATGCTTTTTTTCCTGGACTCCAAATATTTTGTTTATTTACGATATCCGATATCATAAAACTATTTAACACTCTTTTTTTAAAAAAAATGCAGAAAAATAGTTTACTATAATATTTTTAGTAATTATTATACGTGTTGTTCTTTTTAATAAATTTACGATCCTCTGTCTAAGTGAACTATGTGATATTTCAGTTCGTTTGCAAAAGTATTATTGTTACTAATACATCTAGTTCAATATTAAATTTTTCTATATCTACACAAATTTACTTATTAGTAAGTTTTTTTGAAAAAACTATTTTATGGTGTTTTTAATAAGAAAAAATGTTGACAACAGAGAACAGTGGCAAATTTTGAACTCTGAAGTACCAAGCAATATTTTAAGTATCAACTCCTGCTATTTTAAATTATTGTTATAAACTTCAAGATTGAAATAAGCCAAATCCATTCTGAAGAGAATTAACTGTTAAGTTACGAAGCATGTTCAAAGTGACAAGTTCTAAGCTGAAAGCTTACTTTTTACTATAAAATTTATTCATCAGTAGCACAAGGCAATCAAAAAATGAAATACCTTATTTCTAAATTAATCAGTGCCACCGATAGTTTTGTACTAAGGTAATTAAGTTAAGATGAGAGTTATATATAGTAAGAATTAAGTTATATAAGTACCAAGTTTAATTAAAATATTTACATTAATTGGTAATTTTATAAAATTTAAAAAAAAATCAATATCTATGCAAAAAAAAAAATCCAGGAAGAAAGGAACTTCAGCAATAAGAAAATAAATCTTCAATTTCGATATTTAAAATATTTATGTCTAATGATTGTTCTTTCTAATCAAATAGCTGCACATGAATCTAAATTTAAAAATTCATGTTTTTTTATCAGAAATAAAACATTTACGATTTAAAAAAAAACAATAAAGTAAAGAGTTAATTTCAAGTCCTAACTTTTTAATTATTTTTCAGAAACGTGATCAGTAAATATGAAAACAATTTAACAGTTTTTTTTTTCTATGCAATGGGCCGATAATGTGGTGAAAAGATTATGGGTGCTTTAAAATACAAATATAAGGCAACTTCAGCTCCTGCAGCTAATTTCTTTTGCAGTTTAATTTGAATAAGCTAAGATATTCTCTTACCAGCACATCAATTGGAACCTCTGTTTGAAAGGAACATCGAACAATTGTTCAACCATAACTTGTAAATCTCTGACTTGAGTCTTGAAATCGTCTTTTTCAGCTCCATCAGCAAGGCATTCAGCATGAGCTAAGTAACCTGAAAGTGAAAAAATGGGCGTCATTTAAATTAGTTTCAGAAACTATTGACACGTGCGGGTAATGGCTTCTTTTTTCTCTACTTTAATTTTTTACTTAAGTTATTATACTCGTGATCATAGAATAACTTAACAGTAAATTGAAAAAATAATAATAACCTATTTAACAGATTGGTCATCAAATCTTTTACAGAAATGATATTTTAAATCACTATATAATTAAAAAGTTAATATGTATTATTTTTAAAACTATATTTAAAATTGTTCCAAAAAAATTATAATATATTCGTTAAATTATAATTAGATATACTTCGAAAATTGAGAAATAAAATGACATATGCACTGTAGAAAAATAAACCCGGATAAAATTACTGTAAAAGTACCAGCACTCAGAATGCCGGTACTTTTTACTATAAAATTTATTTTCCGAAACATTTTACAGAGCCAAAAAAATTAGTTTTAGTAGGTTTTACAGTAATGATTACCGTAAAATCACTGAATCACTTTTATTGTATAAATATTACGGTAAAAATTAATTCTGTAATATTTTACGATAAAAATAGTTTCATGCACCTAAAGTGCAGGTACTTAATTTCATGCGGAATTTTTTGCAGTGTGTAACATTTCGAGTAATACCGTTAATAAAAAGTTTTTTAAGAAAAACTTTATAATAAAAATACTAGGTTTTATTTGTAAAACTTTGAACGAATTAATGAAAATTATTGAAAAAAATAATAAATGAAATATTTAATTAAAAGAATACTATTAATGATATATTTCTATAAAAATATTCATACTTGTTCTTTCTTCTGATCCGGCAATACATAATTTCTTAGCTGGCTCTTCTGATCCGGCTAAAAGACTGATTAATTCTCTTTGGACTGGAGACAAGCATTTGGCTGAGAAATTTCCCATACATTCTGTAACTTCCTGCATGGTTCTAAAATATAAAATATATAGTCATATATATATTCATTTTTCACTTATAAATTTGGTTAAATATAAAAGGCTTAAAATAATGAAGAATTCAAAGTATGTACATAGAGAAAATAATTTGGTATATTTGTTGTTCAAAAGTTTACCGAAAATTCTGGTTTTCGAAATTATAGATCTTATTACTACACATGTAGTAAAAAATACAACACTGATAAGTAAATTGCACTAAATAAATGGATTTTATGCCAAGCGCTAAGGTATCAAGATAAAAGTATCAAATTTTACTACATTTACCTAATTTTTTCACATATTATAAATCCATATTTAATTGTTAACTTTACAAAGTCCATTACCAAAGCGCTTCGGTGAAATATACAGAGCTCTCATAGAGACAGTAAATTCCATAGTAGTCAGGTAGTTTTGACCATACTTTTTTGCCTCAGTGTGAAAAAAAAATTATTACAGAATCAAAAAAATGTGTATTTCGTGTAAGAATTAAAATATTATTAATTTTTCTTCCCTAAAACAGATTCCTAGATTTAAAAATTTAAGTAGCTTATAACTTATATATATTTATTTTAAACTTAAATAAATAACAAAGGAATTCGGAAATAATCTATTTTGGTTGGCGATATTATTTTAAAGCATTGCCTTTGAGTTAATAAATTTGATGACGCATGTCCTAAGCGATTTAGAGTGTTACTTTGTATAATTATTCTATTTTGTTTAATTTGTATTTACTTTCGTTTTTTAAACTTATTAAATGGAAATTTCTTTTGTTGTTGTTATTAGAAGAGCAACAACATAATATGAAATTTCAGACACACGAGATATCTTTCGAGTTTTTTAAAAATACTAATTTTTGGCCATACGAAACTAAGGACTTTTAAAAAGTATACAACTAGTACTGACTGAAGATAAAATAAGGCAACATTTTTTGCTGCTTGATCAATGAAACAGTTCATACAATATTAATAATAAAAAATACTGTTAAAATATTTGTGATAACTGTTTGATACATTTTTAAATAGTTTCTAAGGAACAATGCCAGGAAGTAAAAAAAAAATAAGTGGAAATTAGTTCAAGATAGGAATAGGAATTAGGAATAAGTTTCTAAGATTTTTAAAAGATACTCACTCGCACCATTCGTTAACTTTTTCTTCATCAGCTGGGACTCCATTGCTTTGATAATGGAACATACCTATGGCCATACATAGATCCACTTCCCGCATATGACATGCTTGGGAATAGACTTCTGTGGCAGCTGGAAAAAATTATTTCATTTTCAGTCTTGCAAGAGATTAATTTAATTTAACGATTTCTTAAATAATGTTCCAAAAGTTTAAGCTTTTATACCATAATAGCATTTTTGTCTTCCTTTAAATTGCGATTTTTTTTTAGAATAACAAATTTATTTAGAAAATGAACATTTATCAGGAAAAAAACATTGTTCAAAATTAAAGATTGAAAAATACAATTTCTCTCTATGCTGATCTGTGAATTGTTAAATATAATAGTTACGTTTCGTATGTCACATAATTATGGTGTAACTCAAATATCTCCAAAAAATGATAAAATATGCCTTACGGAAGTTCTTAAAACTTCAGAGAAGACTAAAAACTTTAGTAATTATATCGAGTTAATAATTTAATTTTTAACGAGCATTCGAATGAATATTCATTGTGTAAAACGTTATTTGAATGATAATTCCTGGTTAAAATATTACAAAAGCTAGTTTAAGGATAAAATAGAATTCAGCATCTTATCGTTAAAATTTTAACTTATCCTATCTATCTCATATCTCATGTATTCCTCTCTATATTTTTAAAATATCCAATGTTTTAAGTCAATAATTTGCATCCAAAATTATGTTTTTGAAGCCAACTAACTATGGAATATAATTTTTGTAAATGCTGGATCGTCGAATTTTTTTGACAATAAAATTTATATATTGAAATATTTTAAATTTTTTCTTTGCTTTTTGAAGCTAAACTAGCTACCAAAATATGTAAAATGTTAGCATATATAGTATATTACGTTGAAAAGTCTAGATGCTTGGAAAAGAAATTTTTTTGTTTTACCCTATTATTAACAAAATGAATGTTTTTAAATATTGTAACGTTGCAAAAATTCGATGCTAAAATTTTTCTGTAAACAAATTATTTAACAGCGATTAAAAGTGGTTTCATTTAAAATATAAAATTAATTTACAAACTGTCAAAATATTTTTGAAAATGTTAAACAGAGCAAATGTTACACGTAAGCAAAATAAATAATATTCCTTATTTTTAAAAAAAATGCTGAAAATCTGTTAAAGATATTCTTAAATAGGCATACTAGCATTTTTCATCTAGCTACGAAAGATTCAAAACTTACCAACGGCCAAAAGAATTCCTAAAATAAATAACTTCATCTTTAAATAATTAGATCAGTTATCCGAAAATGATGATTCTGAAATTCCAGCCAGCCGCTTTTATACTCTTTCTTAGATGTTATTCTATTTATTTATTCAATACGTCAGAAAATTTCACCTAAGAAAGTAAAGCAATTAATATAAAATAAAAAAAATTCGTGCAAGCTATCAACGTCACAAGCTGTTATGATTCGTCACTTTTTGAAAAGTTAGAAAAAAACTGACAAATAAGTCTCCCTTTGATCCCTGTTGGCCACCATGTATATGCAGTACATACTCTACTGCCCCTCCCATACGTTGCGCAAATGTCAAGAAATATAACGATTGCTTGGATCAAAAAATAAATTGTTTCTTGGCCTTAGGCCCTGGACCTTGAGAAAGTTGAAGATAGCACATTTGATCTTCTGTTAGTAAAGGGGTTGACCTTCCAAATACTTGCACTGTTCTTAGGTTGGTACATTAGGCGAGACTTTTGACTTTCGTCATACTTAAAAGGTGATTGTGTTTCAGGCAGATTACAGCTAAAAAAAGAATTGGATTTCTTGTAAGAGACATGTCTTTATCATTGACATTGAAGATTTAAACATTAGTTTCAAAGTATGGCCTCATAATTTTAATGATGTCCTCTAAAGATGAGTTTTTGTTAGAAAATGAGCCAAATTGGCCATTTAATGAAATAAATGCATGTTGTGAAATGCTGGTTGAATGCCATTAGAGTTTTAATTTAAAAAATTTCATATGAACTCATTTTACTGCTAATGAATTAATTTAGTAAGAGTTTAAAAATCTATGCAAAATTTAATTAGTATTATCTACTCCTTCAATTCTAAAGTCAGATACGTTCTAATTATTTATAGTAAGAATTAATTAAACTTATTACCCAACATTTTCTAATGTTATTAAAAACGAATCGACCTATTTTATGAATAGTTTTGGAAGAAATAATTAGATGTTTAAGGATATAAATAAACAACTGTGGTGAAAGTTAAAACCAATTATGAAATAAAAATGTTTACCAAGAAAAATATTTATTAATGTCAGATAGAAAATGACCATCTGTTAAGTCCCACGAGTAAATAAAGATCTTTTTTGAACTATTTATGCCTCAAATTAATTAATTTTGCATACCTAGAGTACGGAAAAATTAATTAAATCTTATTTGCAATCATAGTTATTGTCCATCTGGTGCTTCTCAGTTTTTTTCACGCAAAGGAATTATAGTTATGCGAATAAAATCAAGTTCCTTCTTGTAACATCATAGTGGAATATCGTTTTTAAATGTTTTGTTTTGTATGGAGTATAAAGAAAAACATAGAGTTAAACACCTACATATATCGATTCTCCAATTCTCTTTGCAAACAACTTTTGAAAATAGTTTTTTTTCCTTTAAAAAAATAATTTAAGAGATTTACCTTATAGATATTTTTTTAAGCAATAGTGTAAATAAGAAAAAAGTATGGTCAAAACTACCTGATATGATAAAATTTACCACATTTCTGATTCTATGGAAGCACCAGAAGACTCGATAATTTTTGCCAAAGCGCTTTGGTATTGATTTTTGTAAATTTAATAGTAACATATGGTTTTACAATGTTTGATAAAATATGGTAATTAGTGGTAAAGTTTCTTAATCTTATCATGCTACCTAAGGGCATGAATTAGATACCATTTATGTGGTTAAAGTTACTTTTTCGTTGTGTGCTTTTCAGTAAATGCTTGTTAATACGAACTATTATTCTTAAAACCAGAATTTTTAGCGAACTGAAAAAACTGCCAAATTAATGGCTTAAATACTATATGTGTTAGTTTCTGTACGGCTGTAAAATGCTTTATGTTTGTTTATAAAAAAATAAAATCTTCTGAAAAAGCATAAAAATAATATAGCCACACGCTGGTGCACTGAATAGAATATTTTGAAATTAAGTACTTTTATATTAACTCGCCATAAATTTCCTTAAATTTGAAAATAAATTTGGAAGTAGTTCAAATTTAACTATTTCTTTATTTTTTAATGAAATAAATTATATTTGTATGTTGTCTATTTCGTTATGATCAATTACTATGCAAAAAATAATTTGGAAAAGAATGAATGTTAACGAAAATAATCAACGTAATGAAACGTAAGTAACGGAAATTATTACGTTTTTTAAAAAAATTATTCAAGATCTCAAAATTGTCATTCCAACTTTCACGAGCAATTACATATCTCTTTGAATAATACAATCACAGGGAAATAAAAAATTTTCATGTCCGTTGAGTTTATAATTCAGACACGACAGTTTAACTTTACACACAAAAGCACTAAAACAAATAAAATATTCTCCTAAAAATTTCTTTCCTTAGGATTTTTGGAAATAAGTGTCTACCACCCAATGTATCTAACATATTTCTATGACTTTTTTTTGTCTCAATCCACCCTGTAATTTAACAATAGTTTTTTATTATGACTTTTATTAAGATAACTCAGATAGCTCTGAATCACCAGAATTACTGAAATTGCCAGTATTTAATTGGCAATTTCAGTAATTCAGTTTAAGTTTACATTTAATGATATTTATCTAAATTTATAATAATTTGATGGAAAATATAATCATTTGATGGAAATACTATATGCTTAAATCAACTAATACTGAATAAAAAATTTTTAGCTTGGAATTATCTTTGGATAAACGAATTTCATAACTATGGACGAAAAAATTTCAATTTACTTGAAAAGTTTTTGAGACATAGCGAAATACGCAAAAAGTAATATTAACACTAAAGGGTCCAAGTTTTGGATTGCTCTCCTGACCAAACTAGGGTGACTATATTTCTCAGATTGCGGCCTCCCCTATATTTTGTAGAATCCGAAATCCGAGTCCGTCAAAAAAAAAAAAATTTTTATTTAGAGAAAGTACGTTTTTGTGTCTGATTTCGTAACCTAAAATATTGTTTGCGCTGGTTAATTGGCATATTTGAGGTCATCCTCTCGAACCATTAAAAATGAGTCCTATAACGCGATGATCTGATCATTAGATCAAAAATTATTCAGGATGGTCTGTTTTTTTGGCTCTTGTAGAGTGTACAAAACAATTAATGGTCCACCAGAAATCACTTTTAATCTAATGATCGGATCTTCACGTTTTTGGACTCAGTCTTCATGGTTTGCGGTAGTACCCTCTAATATGCTATGATGATAAATTAATGCAAACGATAATTTAAATTTCAAAATCAGAAACACGTACAGTCCGCAAAAAAAAAAAAAGATATCACCCTGAATAACTTTCGTTCTAATGATCAGATTTTCACGAACTAAGTGTTAATCTTAATGGTTCCTGGGGGTGACCTGAAATATGCTAATTAATTAGTGCTAACTATTAATTANTTGCACAGTGTACAAAACAATTAATGGTCCACCCTAAATTGCTTTTGGTCTAATGATCGGATCTTCACGATTTTGGACTCAGTCTTAATGCTTTGCAGTAGTGCCCTCAAATATGCTATGATGATAAATTAATGCAAACTATAATTTAAATTTCAAAATCAGAAACACGTACATTTCAGTATTAGCATTCTTTTAGACGGATGACGTTAACTAACCCCGAAAGTATAGGGGGTAGCCGCAGTCTTTATATGGTCCCAATAGACAGGAGAATCCAAAGCTTGAACACCGTCATGTTAAGTATTTTTTTTTTAGTATTTCCCCATGTCTCAAGAAATTTTCAAGAGAGTTGAAATAATTTTGCATTCAATTGTAAAATTCCGGTATCCGGAGGTAACTCCAAGCAAAAAATAATTATTTGTAAGTATTTACCATTGTTCATTATTTTATTTGATAATAGTTAAAAATATTTTGAATTGTTAGGTATTCACTTTTTTACATCAGTTTAAAGAATATAATTTGAAATGGCAAAATACAAAAAAATGTCCAAATTGACCGAATAGCTCATGAGAAATCAAATTTTAAAGAAGTCATATATTTAATACAAAAAATAGATACAAATAGCTGTGGGAAAAAGGATCTGCTGCTCTGTTTTGTATATTCTTATATCTAACAGAGACTATCTGCTTAATAAGGCTGTAAAAATATTCATTTTATTCTAAAATTTGTTTTTTGTTAACATTATTTTATTATAAACACAAAATGAAACAAAAACAATAGAACTTTCTCAAGGGACCATTCCTTGCGATCGACAGATGCGGGAAAACGACGAATTTGTGCCCATGCCAAAACATAAAAGGGATATATATGAAAAGTACTAATGAAGTAACTGAATCAAAAATTAGTAAATTTGCAATCAGTATTAAAAATTTTAATTGAAAAAGTTATGTACTTTATTCTGAACTATTTCTGACAACATCTGCTTAATTATGCAATTTGACCTCAATTACTAGTAAACAAATTCTTTATTTTTCGAAAGATTACTATTTAGGAGATGGAATAGGTGAAATAGTCTTAAAGAAAAATTTTTGAAATCAAAATTTTATTTTCATTTATTGTAGTATCCAATTTTTTTGTTTAATTCTAAACAATGGAAACTTTATCCAGTATAAAATATAATTTGTTTGATTACCTAGTTTAATTTCCTTAGGCAGAAAATCTAAAACATTTAAGACAATTTTATTGCATGTTTTTCTTACTAATAAATTGCTTTTTTTGAAATTTTTTTTTTAAAATTAAGTGTTAAACATTGTTGAAGAATGGGAAAATGAATTAGATTCAATTCTTAAAATTTCACCCCACATTCACCTATCACAATTTTTGAGTGCTCCTTAAGCCTTATTGTCATTCATATTTTCCTAAGACAAAATAAAATAGACATGAAATCAATAACATTTAAGAAGAATTTTTAATGCTTTTCTGATCAATAAAATGTTGTTTTTTATTTATAAATTTCCAGAGAAATGAAGAAAGTGTTTAAAATTGCTAAGGAATGGGGAAGTGATTTAGATTTAATCGTTTAAATTTTGCCCATCAATCATTAATTGCAATTTTTGAGTGCTCCCTATACCATATTGTCATTCATATTTTCAAAATCTGCACGACATAGGAATCTCTAAATTAAAAAAAAAGAAATAAACAGCCTCGGGTTGAAAATTACATATTGGGAGTTCCCATTCATATTTTTTTTCTAAACCTTTTACTGAATTCTTAAGTAGCATTAAAACGTCGCATTGTAGCCTTCTTTCTACGTCATTTACAATTTAACCTTCTGCCTTATCACTACAGGTGACCCATTCATTATTTTGCTGCCTCTGATGTTTCTAGACGGAGTACATTATTATTATATATTACAGACGTGTATATAGTTTTAAAAAAAAGGAAGTGCATAGTAACAAAATAATATTCATTAAAAACAAATTGCCAGTTGATTACTGAATTAACAGTGAGCAAAAAAATATTTAGGTACAGTATTTTTTATTATACACGAATAGACATTTTTTTAATGTTAAAATTAACTACTGTTCAAAAGTTTTGCTAACTTGGGTAAGTGAAGCATAGCATGAATCAAAGTATGGTTCAACTTAACACTTTATTAAGTTGCAGAAATCCGACGTCTCATTATGGTTCAAGATAACAATATCATTGTTTCAAATTGTTCAGTAGGCGAAATTAAAAAAAAATGGGCCACACTGAATAACTTTTGATCTAAAAATCGGATCTTCACGTTTTCAGACTCAATCTTAATGGTTCGAAAAAGGTGACCTCAAATATGCTAATTAATTAGTTCAGAAGATATTTCAGGTTACGAAATCAGAAACAAAAACGTACTACTTTCTCTGAATAAATATGCCTTATTTTCGACAGATTTGGATTTATGACACCCAAAATATGGCCGCAATCTGGGAAATATGATTTGGATTCCTTAATGTTAATTTTACTTTTTGCGTATTTCACCACAACTCGAGAAATTTTTAAACGAATCGAAAATTTCTTGCACGAAATTATAAAGTTTGTATGCCCAAAGATATTTCGTTATTAAATATAACTTTTAGTAAATATTTATTATTTGTCGAAAAATGTTTCAATTTCATGGTATACAATTTTCTGCCCCATTTTAGAGGTGCAATTTTGAATGGCAAAATACAAAATTTGAGTGAAATCAGTGGAATAGTTTCTCAGAAATTAAATTTTAAGAGTACGAAAAAAAATACTTGTATCAAATCTTTTAATGATATGCTGTTTTTCATCAAAGATTATTGTATTTGGTGAAGCAAATGAAAATATGAATATCTCAAGAACTAAGGTAGAGGAATTACGCAAAATTATATTCTGAATTGCACAGGGTTTTGTATTTTTTGTACACTAAGCTGCAAAGAAAAAATAAAATTCCAACATTGGCTGATTTTTAGGCAAAATTGCATCCGGAATCTAAATATGACCCCCATTTTTAATTATAAAGATCCATTTTTTAGGACCGACCCATGTTTTTGATTATTTCACAGACACGAATTTGATTTGAAGGAAGGAAAAAAAAAATTCGCATTATTCTTCTCAGAGGAGTAAGAGCGGTTAAAAGTTCTTGCAAATAACCATTTCTTCTTAAATTTTTTTGCAACTTTTAAAATATTTACCTGCTAATTTTAAATTGCAGATCCTCCATTCTTTCCCATATATCCTCAAATAGCAAAAATACAATAATTTTGGCTAAAAGTAGGGGTCAGGAAGCCCTCTTACAGTGAATCTTCCAAGCATTCCGCGTGAAAGCTCTTGGTTTGTTTTAAGTATTAAACGATTAATAATTAAACGATTATTATTTTAATAATTAAACGATTTTAAGTATTAAACGATTAATAACTATCAATTTTTATTATTATTTAACTGAAAATGCTTATTTTAATAATTATATAAAAATATTGCTGAAATTAAAATGATAATTTGCAATATTAAAATTTTATGAGGTGAAGCATCACTTAAATGCATCACATTTTTGTAAGTGAACAAATTTTGAGAGGATTTGTTTTTCGTCTTTATGAGGGGTAGGGGGGAATTACAATGACTGATATTTTCTGTTTTTTTTTGCTTCTGCAATATTTAATTTCTTTTAGACATTCAAAATGTATAGTCCTTTTTTTGCAAACCAATCTCCAACCGTAAACAAGAAATATTTAGTAGCAGTTTTGACTAAATAAGGGTGAGGATGGAAAATTCTCGAAACTTTTCCGAGAAAGTTTGAATGATTCACTGTTTTAGAACTTCCTGATTCTCCACCTTATTTTCAGCAATTGTTGCGAAATATTTTTGTTATCAGAGGGTATTAAGGGAAGGAAAGCAGGTATGCAACAGGAAATTGTAAAAATTAAGTTCAAAAATTTAAAAAAACAAAACAAACAACACTCATTTTTATGACTTTTTTCCCAATTTATGAATGTGATGCTTCAGAAATATATTATTTTAAACCTTTTAATATCTCCTCTTGATTCTTGTATGAAGTTTGGTGTGCCGAAAAAAAGAGTGTTGTTAAAACTACTAGAAAATGGTTCACTTTGCTATAATTCTGACTCTACTCCAACATCAGAAAGCTCGGTGATTTTTACCAGTAATGATTTCGGTTTAATTAAACGTAAAATATAGTTACATAATATTTGATAAAATATAGAAAATGTAGAAATTTTATCATTATCTGAATTCATTAATCTGATTGTATTTACTTTTCTGTTTTGTATTTTTTTACTAAATGATTGGTAAAAAAGAAACATAATCTTAAAAACCTACATTTCCAGCAAACAGTTATCTTATGAACTGAAAAATTACAACAAAAAAACGGTTTAAATACTGTATCTTTTGGCTATTAATGTCAGAAATATATTGCTTTTTCATACCAGAAATGATATTACCGTAAAGTACGGTAATTTTACCAGATTTTTTTTCTTCGTGTGAAATTGCACTTTTTTCTTTCATTCAAATAAATTTTATGTCCAAACAATTATCGAAAAGTGATTATCATAGAGGGAAGAGAGGATGGCTGATTAATAAACTGAGGATAATTGGGAAGCATCGTGGTCATATTCGGATTCAAATGGCCATTTTATTCAGAAAACTACAGAAATGACATTTTGTGTTTCTCATGCAACGCATGTTAATGGGAAAACATGAGGTAAATATTAGCCCCTTTTTGCTTTTATTGTAAAAAAAAACAACAAAATGAAATATTTCGATCACGCTTGTAAAGTATCTAACATTTATATATTAGATGAAACAAGAGTGGAAAATTAATAATTAGATGACTATTCAGTCAATTTAGACTATATAGTCATATTACTACAAAAATAAGAACAATTAATTTAAACTAGATAATTCCTGAGGCATTTCAATCAACAAGCAATTGAGCCCAAGTTAAAAATAATAATACCGATAGCATCCAATTCTGTATAGCGTGATAACAGGATTTGAAATAACAGGTCCAAATAACATATATTTCCTACAATGAAAAAGGAAAGTATGGTGAAATTTGCCAAAATAAAACGTGTTTCTAAAACTATGGTAACACCAAAAAGCTGGGTAAAATTTAACGAACTTTTTCAGTTATGCAAATTTTACTAAAAATGGGGTAATAAGAATAATAATTTAGAAAGGCGAATTCAGATAAACCATAACTATTTGAACGGAAAATTTGCCATCCCAATGGTTTAAATACCTTATATTATGGCTTTATTCAACAGAATTATGATTTAAAGAAATGTCATTACCATACATCAAGGTAATTTTACCAAAGTTTTTTTAATTCAAGTAGTGTTATGTATATTTTTTTCAATAAAAAAGTATTAAAAACTTCACTTTTAATTTTAATTGTGTATGCACAAAGCAAGGAACTTAAAACATCAACTGAAAACTTTTATTCAAAAACATTTATTGACTATTCACTTCATATATATTTTTAACAGCTTGCTGCACAGTTCAGTTTTTACACTGTATTGTTCTTGTGACAGTTTAAAGTTAATCTTCCATTTCAGCTAGACATTGCTGGCACACATCCATATCAGAATCTATTGGGCCACAAAAACCTTGTACCATTTTCTTTCCAATTTCGTCAACTGACATAAGGATAGTTTGAGACATCTGATCGCAGTCTTCTATCAGTTTGTCTTTCTCATCACATTTTGACAATTTCGAAAGGGCGCTGAAAATATCAGACAAGATGTCAATCATTAGCATGGATTTTATTTCATTGTCAGCTATGAACACTAAATTCTCATAACAGAAATGTATTTATATAAGTTATTAACACTAAGACCTTCTAATTTTGAATCCAATTAATTTAACTATGTAGAAGAGTTTTGAAGTATGAGTAACCATTATTTTCATTGCACGGAAACTTCGCGCTTTCTGATAACGATGCGACTTTAATCTATATTTTGTATACTTGGGGGTGCATTTTATCTAAATGACTTGCAGTGGGAAGGTATAAAATACAAACACTGTGGAAAATGAATACACAAATTTCACTGCATACACAAGTTTCCCGGTATATGCTCCGAGCGAACGTTTCGTCAGAGTGACGAAATAACTATCGTCACTGTTTTGAGGAAAGGAATTTCGTCAAAAAAAAATATTTCGTCATTCTATAGTTTCCAAAAGAAAATAAATAAAATCACCTACTTAATGTAGAGCAAAATTGAAAGTAAAAAAAATAAATAATTCTAAAAAAAATTATCAAACAGCAGCAGTCGCCACAGCAACGCATGCAATGACGACGCATGTGCTCTGTTTATTATTACTCTTGAACACGATTGAAAAGTATGATGACGTCCAAATAAGGCGTGCACGTCAATGAACCCAAAGCAATACCCATTTTGTAAATGGGTAATAACATCATGCGGCACCAGTAGTACCTCATGGTATCTAACTATTGGTATCTAACATTGATTCATCATACAGGTGAATCAATGTCACGCCAATAACACAAGGATAGATAGAATAGAGCGAGAAATTACACCAGCGCCTGAAGGAGAATTTGAACCCAGGATCTTTCCGCTATAAAGCAAACTCCTTGACCAACCATACAGCCGGTCGGTTTGCTTCGCACATTCTAGTTTCATTCTTTCATTCTAGTCTCCATTCTAGTTAACAATTTACCACAATGCACTGTGATAAATTTTCGAGTTGAGGATACATTTATTTATACATGCATATTTTATACATACATTTATTTGTGATACATATATTTGAGAGTTCGCGTTTCCTCAAATTACGAAATTTCGGGACGAAATGATTCTCAAAAAACATGAAATGCAGCTCAAGGATTGTTGAATCGTCAAAAGTGAAGGCTTTATTTCTGAGAGGGCAGAAATCTATTAAAAATTAAATAACGAGCAATATTTCCTCATTATATATATACTATATATATATATATAGCACATTTCAAATTACTTATGCATACTTATATGGCAATTTTGACTACCAGGTGAAGTAGTTTTATTTGATTTTAGTATTAAACGTTTAAAAGGTTTAAAGCAATTCAAAGAAGAAGAATATATACAGAGCAATTCAATTGCCCTATTTAACTCGGGTGGCTACCACGGGCGATTGAAAAGACAAAAACTGTATCATGTTAATACATAATGCTTAAACAATCCCTTACGTTACTGTTTACTTTGTATTCCCTTAAGGACACACAGAAGCATTAAAAACCTAATATGGGTACGAGTTAATGATTAAAAACCAAAGATAAGTAAGAGGGGAAATTATATCCTTGTGGGTCCCATTGTCAAATGCTGCAATGCATTGCTCAAAAATGGGAAAAAGAATAGTAGTTTACTTCCGATAGCATAATGTATGACAGCGTACCCAATGTATTTAACTTACCAACATATTGGTACGTAGGCTTTTTCTACTGTTCGGTGGATAAACGCTTCATATTTTTGAGCCTCTTTGTATTCTTCTTTTTTCTTAACTTCCATGACGCACTCCATTAATGGCTTTGCACCTTGAAATGAGAAGAAAATAACTATTATGGCTCTATAATAGTAATGTTTTTTTCAATATTAGTGATGTTTTATATATATGTAAATAGTAATGTTTCATAAATATTATTGTATGTCTACAATAAAATCAGAACTGTTATAAAAATAGCATTGTATGTAGCGTTTTATAGAAATATCCAGGTTTTTTTTTTTACAAAATAGTAGGCAAATATTTGTCTATGTCCTAGAATTAAGAAGAAAAGTAAATGTTATAACTATGAAAACTGATGGCTGGAGCTTCTATAACCATTAATTTATTATGTTATGCGAATTGTTTATGTTGTGAATATAACATACCGATTAAAGTATAAAGTGAATTTTAAAGTGGCTATGCTACTAGAAATAACAAGAAAATGATCTAAGAATTATTTTATAACTGTTATGTTCTATCTACAACAGAATAGTATGTGTTATGAAAATATTTTTTTAAAGATTTTTCTTCATTGTCTCATTTATTTATGAAAATAACGTCATTTACAAAAAAAGTTTTTGCAATACTACTACTACTAATTTATACTAGAAATAACAACAAAAAAAACTAGGAATTATTTTGTAATTATTATGTTCTATCTACAACAGAATAGTATATGTTATGAAAATAACATTATTTACAAAAAAAGGGTTTTTACAGACTATTAGAAGAAAGTTAGAAAGTAGATATCCACCTCAAAATAAGAAGACAATGCTGTGGCTATGAAATAGATATGAGTTAGATATATTAACACTAGTTATATATCTACAACAGAATCGTGTATGGTATAAAATGCGGCTATGAAATAGATATATTAACACTAGTTATATATCTACAACAGAGTCGTGTATGGTATAAAGATAACATTGTATACCATTTTTTAAAACAAAATGTAAGGAAAAAATGATTTGTGTGCTTTAAACCGTACTAACTTGTTCAATTTACTAGAGAAAACACACTAAAAAGAGCAGACAAAATAATGTTAATTATAACAGCTTAGTATGGGTTTGCCAATAAACGCTCTCTTAAAGAAACACGCAGGACTGAATGCGTTTTATCAAATGAGAAACTCAGTTGGTGGATCAATTTTTTCAGTTAATTTGAGACGATAAATGCATTTGTTAAAGCTTTTCGTTCAATGAAGAAGTTATACAAAAACCGAGGAGTCTTTTTGCGGATAAGCCAATTAAACCCCAGTCCACGATTCATTTGGTAAAAGACAACTTAACTGCAAAACTTCAATGCACATAACCTAACGAAAATCCTAGCTCCAATGTCCAGTTAAATTTCTTTCTTTACGATTCATAAAGTTGTAAATAGCTGAATACAGTTAATAAGTTGTAAATGACTGAATACGGTTAATAAGTTGCAAATGGCTAAAAAACCGTGTAATTTTGTATTCATGCTTTTTAAACCATACTAGTTGTAAACGTTTTCAAAACCGTAAAGGTAAAATATGATCTTTACCGTCAACTTTATAGTTAATTGGATAAACAGACTACTGTCTGTTGCTTTACCTTAATTTTAGCCTAACAATTCCAATGCAAGAGAATTAAGCGAAACCAAATGTGACACCAAATGACATACTTTGTGTGAATATTTCAAGTAATGCGCACGATTGCTCATCTGTCAACATATTCTTAATATCTTCCTCTTCCAATATCGAAAGTATTAGTTTTTTTGGACCTTCTGGCATGGCATCGATACATCCTTTTTCCATATTCTTAAGGCAGGGATGGAGATTATGGACAGCGCTATAAAATAATATGTAAATATTATGTATTGTTAAGAAAATGTACGAACTAAAAGTGCTGTAATTTTACTATTATATATTTGCTGAACAAACACAATTTTTTTTAATCAATTCCCATTCCCAATTGAATTTCCATCAAATTGTCACCACGACGAAAGAAATTAACGAATGAATGGTTTAAATACCATAAATTCTGTTTCGTCTTATGATTTTTTTTACTTGAAATATCATTACCATACAAGTACGGAAATCGTACCAAACTTTTTTCTACTAGCTTTATGAATATCAAAGCAAGGTGAACTTTATTTTGCGATAAGTAGAATTTGATCACCATTCAAGTAAGTCCTTCAATTTTATTTATTTTGTATTTTTTTTTTTTGAATTTGTTATATTTTTAAATATTAATACTTCATTAATAAATAATATAAACCGGCATGTTTTGAAATTGAAATTTATGCTCTAATTTTCTTCGAGAATGCATTTTTAGATAAAATTTGAGAGGCTATAAAGAATAAATTTCCACATTAGCAATTAATAATCTCAATTTAAAAAAATGCATCGTTTTTAATGGTAATTATTTTTAAATATGATTAACAATACGATTGTTTAACATATGTTTCTATAGAACATTCTCGAAGCTATTTTATTTAAATATCAAATCTTTGACAATTATTGAACTTCATGAAATAAAACAGCCATAACTTCTGAGCGGCTTGCGCGATGATCTTCTAACTTTGTGGTTTGACGCAGGGCATGCTGGGAATAAGTTTGCTCATACGCACTCAACCAACTTGCTGTTGTCGACCATTTTCATGGGGAAATGTCACGATAAGGTTTGCTAAAGCGTATATCGCTTGTGAAGGCCTACCATGTGAGCAATAAGCCCGATTGCGGCTCAAAGGAAGTTTGAAACCGTATAAAAGCTGAAGACGTCTGGTTCAAGTGCTCTAACAATCAATAATTTAATTCGCAGCTTGAGAGAATTGGTAGTGTTTGTGACGAAAGTGTTGGAAAAGTCGTTCGGCATGCAAGTGCCAAAGCACCTGAAAATATCAAGAAGACACGATCCATGTTTCAAAATAGACCAAGGAATTCGATCAGACGAGCTGCACTACTGGTGACAATAAACCGGGATACCCTGCGACACATTGTAGCAGAAGAGCTCAATTTCTTTCAAGACAAAATTCAAACCTATCAGCCATTTAAGCTCATGATCATAGAACTGCGGTTATGTTTTGCGAACACTGCTGTCAAGAGAATTAACGAATAGGAATTTGATGTGAATATGGTTCGGTTTAGTGACTACGCCCAAGTAAATTTGGATGTAAAAATAATACATCAGTAAGCAAATAAGCAAAAGCAAATTTGCAAAATCAATTGTAATAATACAATCCATAAGCAAAATCAACGCATTTGGGAGAATCCGCGTTTCACGATCATGAAATCGCAACGCGTGACTGTGTGGTGCGCAATATCTAATCATGGAATAATCTATACGATATTCGTTGACAGCATAGTGACAACTGAATGATACGTGAAGGTTTTGGAAGGAAGGTTTCCATCCCCGTTATCGTAAGCACCCCTGATTTAAGATTTAGTTTTCTGAAGACGGAGTTCAAACTCATCAGACCAAAAGATTGTTTGCGATCTGGAGGAGCACACTTTTGGGACCGTATTCTGGTGCTGAGGTATTCACAGTCCACTAAAATGGAACTCACTTGTTCGTCCTATTCTCCTGATCTGAACACATGTGACTCATTTTTGTGGAGCTATATTAACGACAATGTGCACAGAAATAAATGCAAAACCATTTTTAAGCTGAAAACTGCCACTCAGGAGGTTAAAGACAGCATTTATGTTTCGACACTTCAGCGAGTGATGCAAAATTTTGCTATACGTATGAAACCACACCAAACCCAATTTTGGCATTCATATCAAATGTTGTAACCTAAATCCCGAATCTGAATATTCGTGGCAACAGTTACACGTTGAATAAAGTTTGTGTATACAGTAGTTTTTAAATAATCTACTTTTTATTTCAATAATTTCCACCAATAATTCTTTTCAATAATTTCTACCCTGTTTGCTTTATATTATATATTTACATTTTGGAAGCCAAAGTAAAAAATAGCCCATTTAAAATAGCTCTGAATCTTCATTAGAGACTTAATTTTAAAGGAATACTTGTTTGTATTTTTAAAAAGTAACACATTTTTTTTAAAAACTGTTATTGCATTCATTAAGTAAGGCGAATTTCTAACACTCAAAATAAAATTTCGTATAAAAAAGAATGAAAAAACCCCCTTTTTTTTTAAAAAAAAGACGTTTTTAGATTTTGATGCACCTGAAAATATTATGCTTCGATACTAAAATTACATAACTTACTTTGAATAAAAGTATTCATCAAATTTCAAACAGTTATTTTTTATTGGTTATGACGTCTATTGCTTCATAATTGAAAGAAAAAAATAGCATTTGTCATTTTAATATAATTTTAACTTTAATATGGGAATAAAATGGAACCAATTTTTATCTCGTATTTTAATTGAGATGGATTGACCATACGAATGATACTATACTTTAAAAGTGATGATGATAGGTAGAAAAAGGAAAACAATTGTTCAGCGAACTTAAAACTAAAATAGCGGGAAGTTGAAGGTTGCTTACGTCTTTGCATGAAAGCGATAAATGAAACTTTACGTATTAAGGAAACTTTTTAGCAGTGCATAGAAAAGTGAAATATTTAGAGTTCCTAGTTATTGATAAATGTTATTGGATATTGTTAACATAAATTGTTCATTTATTTAATAAAATAATTTTATCAGAGACACTCTTTCTTAAATAATAACTTAAATTTTTTTTAAAACATATTTTGTTTACTTATTGAAGATTGGGAAAAAGCTATTTCAATTTAATTTATTTTTATTTATTAAATTTCTTTTTTTCTGTGTTTACATTTACTTGTTCTTTTATGTGTTGATTGATTACTTTTACTAACAATATAGTTGAATATCAGATATCAAGTCAATTAGACCCAAAAATTCAAATTTTCGGTTAGTAGCCAGTGGCCGGTAGCTAAATAACTTAGTAGTCAGTTTTTCTCATAATTTAAAGGAACTTTGACTGATATCAATAAGTCCTTTTTATTTTAAACCCCTTTTTTCAAATTTTTTTTATTGCTTGAATTAAATTGCATTTTTTTAAAAATTCTATTAGAAATCATTTAGGGCAATAAAATGTTAACTCATCGGCAAAAATGAAATGAATCTGTGACAAAATTTAGTTAAGCATACTGATTTTTAAGAACTGAAAAAATAATTTTAATTTGTACATTACAACTTTGAAATACTTCGATTGTTAAAGAACTCTCCTTCGACGCGAATCTTTTCTTAACAAATTGCTGGAGTCTGAAGGATCAAAGTTTTGAAAGGAGAGATTCCTTTTTCCAGAGTTTTTTTGCATTGGTGTATTAAGATCATTAAACGTTTTATTATTAAAAAAAAACGATAGAGTAAATGATGGGTTGCTTTAACTGATTCTACACGTGCTGAGTGCTTATTTTTAGGTCTTATTAGGTCTTTATTACTTTATTCTTGAAGTTTACTAAGTTTTTAGTACAAACTTTTCTGCTCTTAAACAAGGCATTCAGGCAAAAATTAGCTCAAGCTAAGTTCTTTTCCAAGAAATATATAGCATAGGATAAAAAGCATTCAGAACCTTAATATATTAAAATTTAATTTTCAACTTACTTGCATATGTCCATATCACTAAGTTTCTTCATGAATTCTTCCGGTGAACCGCAATCCTTTAGGTCTTGCATCATTGGATCATTCATCATGCAGTCTCGAGCTTCATGCCAATTACAGCTTTGAACAGAACTGATGACTAAGAAAATACACAAAGCATAACATTAAATTATTTCACTCATTTTTGAAATATTAAAACAAAATTAAAATAATATATCCTGATTTTAAAAGTTTTTTTTTAAAGAATGTTGAAGTTCTAATGACGTAATAAAAGCGCGCATTTGGTTGAATAATATCTCACACAGCTGGTAGTGAGTTCGATCCAAGTGGCTGACAAAACAACCAGTGTTATACGCAGCAGGTTGCAAATTAAATCTGTCGTGGCTGCGAGTTCTAACGTCAGTTGTGGTGTGGAAGCTTGGAGAGAGGAGTGCCAGTTTAGGCACTGTCCACGTCGTCTGAAATGGATCAAAATAACGTAACGTCCTAACCATGGCCATGATAAAGTCCTGATTATTGGGTGACGTGCTTGGCCATATTTGGGAGATGATGATGCAATATCTGTTTGCAATAATATTTTTGCAGAACGTATTACCTAGGCAATTTTTTAGTCTACATAACATTTTCTTAATACCATTTCTCAGAACAACTTAAATCTACTTTTGAATGTAACATTTTTAACTTTAATAAGTTATAACAAAGTGATTTCATGAAGTTCTTAAAAATTTTTTTAAACTACTTTTAAAAATAATAACAGTTACTTTACAAATTTAATAAAAGCGTTTTTTAGTAAATACTTATAAAATATTTCTTTTTTGAAAATATCCTAATAATTATAAATTACTTTCCTTAAATGCGCTGAAGGTTTATTTGAATAACTTTAGAAAATCTCGCAGAAAACCACGCTTCAGATCAATAATTTTTTTTTAAGAAGATCTTCCAAACAAAAATCCTTTGGGCCTCATTGAATTAAATTTTATTTATGTCTCAGTACAAAAAATAGGAAATTAATATTAAATAGACTATTAAAAATAACATGCGATGTTTTTAATGAATTTAATATGTTATGATATTCTTTCTAATGGTATTCCAAAACGGTACAACATCACCTGCTGTCATTTCGTAAAACATAATGTCAACATTGTGTTTCGATGTTATTTAGCCAAGTAAAAGCTATAATTTAAAGTTATAGATAAAAAATTTTGCCGCTAAGAATTATGTGGGCTTTAAAACGGACAAATAGCTTAAATATTTACAAGTAATTGAATATTAAAAAATGCAAATTTGGAGAAATTTTTCCATCCGGAATTAATGAAATCAATGAATAATAATTCAGTTTTGTAATTTTTTTTTGTACCTAGATCATGCAACGTTGGAGTAACTTGATACTAAAAATTAGATCAAATACGCAATTTTTATTTTCATAAAACTGCAACTTTTCTTCGTATTAACGTTTTGCACCATTTTCAGAATAAACATAAATGATGCTGGGTCATGGATGAACTAAACTTGACCAAAAAGTTGTGAACAGCTGTTGCAAACTTGCAGCTGATGTAAAAAAAAACATATTCGCCAAAACGCGTTATTTCATGTTAAGACACAGCTTTCAAAGAACACTCTTTAACTTAAATTAATAAAATGTTTTTCTTATCGTATTTGATTTGTTATCTTTTCTTGGGAGCAAAAATAGGCTGAAGAGGCAAAGATTTGTGTGAAAGTGAAGCTAATGTATTCAGGCATGTAGTTGGGTCACTAATCAAATAAGATCAAATGCAATTGAACAGTCATATTAAGATAAGTTTAAATATATTTTTATTAGTTTTATATTCTTAAATTTGTCATTTTTTAATACCTCATAAATAAACGTAATTATTTATGCTTTTTCTCAAAAAAAAAGTTATAAACAAAAAATTAATAATTAAATAAGGATCTAAAATTAATTAATAATGTAGATAATTAATAATATAAAATGCAGTGTTAATTCATATTTTATCATAAACACGTTGAAAGTTATAAATAACATTGGGAAATTTCACGAAATTTTTAAAAAGTTATTTTTAATATCCCAAATGAAAAGATTACTACTGAATTTAACTTCATTAACATCATTAGCTTCCCAAAATATCACATTAAGTAATATTTTCAGTTACGAATATTAATTCATAACACAGTATATAATATTTTTAAGCTTTTCCTTGTGATTACCTTAGTTTATGAAATCTAAGGAAAATTTCGTTTTTTTTTTAAATTTCGAAAGAAACTAAACAAAATTCCAAGCAATTAATTTTTCATAATTATACTATCTGTAATATATCAAGGAAGTATTAATAGTACATATTATAATCCATTATAACGTTATAGTCCTGTTAAATTTAGTATTAAATTTTGTATTTTATGCGAAACTCTTAATTATAGTATAACAATAATCAACGTGAAATAAATATTTGGAAGAATATAGTCTTACCAAAAGCAGTGAGCAAAATTGCATTGAATAAAGAATTCATGTTTGAGGTATGGTATTTCTAAAGAAATATCAAATAAAGTGTATCTTTTTTGAGAAATTTCTTGATTTTTATAGCCAAAAATTTTCTAAAATTTGTTTAGCTGCTGAATGTAAAATGTACGCTCCTTTTTTTCTACTGAATGAAACAAAAAAATTTGCATGTGCTATTCATATAGCATGAATTTTTGCTTTCAACATAATAGGAATATATTGCGTGACATTATAAAAATATCGTAGTCAAATATAAAGGCCTTTATTATCAAGATAGATTATCATTTATTTCGTGAAAAAACGGAAGGAATTAGAATAAAAAACTTTTCCTTTCACTATTCTAAATATAGATCTTGCCTCTCAATAACAATTTAGTTCCACATCATTACTTTAAATCTACAAAAAGATAGAAAAACTAATTTACAATCAAGACATTTAGAATTTTTTTAAAGTATAAAAAATATTTTTTTAAGTGAAGAGACTGTAGGAATTTGATTAAATGAATGTGGGAAATAGGAGTATATGCAATTATAAAATTGGAGTATGAGAATTTATGATAGGGAAGGAAACCAATCAAGGGAATTGTGATGTTTTTGAGAGTAAAAAACAAAATTATATATATGTATGTATTTTTTTACCCTAATAAATTTTTTTTCTCCACTATTAAATGTGCATCAATATTTTGATAATGCAATTACATTGATATTGCCCATATGTCAATTTTATTTTGTCATGTTCAACAATAGTTATATTTTATTTAAATTTTTAGCACTTATTTCTTATGTTTGTTTATTTTTTAAAAATCAATTGATGTACAGTGAACAAAACAATCTCACTCTTAACACAACAAATTTTGATCTAATGATCGAATCTTCATTCTCTAGGATTAAATCTTGATAGTTCAAGGTGTTGATCTCAAATATGCTAGTTATATAAATATATTCTAGACAGATGGATGTCACTTTTTTGTTTATAAAATTCTAATTATAGAACTTTGAAATTTATGCAGATCAGTAACATTTCAATTTCTTTTTTAGCTTTAAAGTTATACAGATATTTTAAACTTTGAACAATTATTTTTTTACGATTCCTCGATGAAAGCTTTTTTTTTCAAACTTTTAAACCTACCGGCGAAAAAAGTTTATTTTTATTTTTTTATTTTAAAAATGAAATTTCCAAACCATAAAAACTCAAAAATTTCAGAAATTTCTAGAGTGCCTGGGTTTGTTTGAAAATTTTCACTACTTATTTCAATAAATTTCTAAATTACTATTCAGAAAATGTTTGATTATGTCATCAGTTATATATATATGTATATAAAGTCAAATATATATATAACTTTAAAGTTATATATATATTTTAAATTTTGACCAATTATTTTTTTACGATTCGTCTATGAAAGTTTTTTTTCCTTCAAACTTTTAAACCAACCGGCGAAAAAAGTTTCTTTTTTTAAATTTTAAAAATGAAATTTCTAAACCGTAGAATTTCAAAAATTGCAGAAATTCTTAAAGTGCCTGGGATTGTTTGAAAATTTTCACTGTTATTTCAATAAATTTGTAAATTAGTATTCAGAAAATGTTTCAATATAGTTACATTGCTTTCTTATGAATGAAAGGAAAGTCCTGGGTTTTAGACGAAAACCAAAGCTTATAATCTACTACGAAATTTTAAAACTTCAGCAATATTTATTATAAAAATTTTTAACATCCATTTTAATTCAGTTAAGAATTTTACAGATCTCTTCCAGTTAAATAAAGAAATAAATTTCTAAAATTGTTTTCAAAATTCAGTAAACCGCAACCGTCTAATACATCGGAATTTTTATAGTAATTAATCAACAAAAAATCACTGAGTATGTCTAATTAAATAAATATTACTGCAAAATTTAAGGTATAATTTTTTTATGGTTAAAATGGAATTTATGTTGAGATAGTTTTTACGAATGATGTACCTAAAGTGCCGGTACTTTAAACCATAATTTGATCCAGAATTTCTTACAGTGTCTGTCATTTACGTCGTTTCATAATTTATAAATGAACTTTTATACGTTATTAGTTGCTCTGGGCAAAGTTATTTATGGGTCCTCTTTTTATTTTTATCACCTGTGACTCCAACGCCCACTTTATTTTAAAACCTTCAAACTTTCTCAATGCAACTCAAATACATTGCCATTTTTTGCTTATAATTTAATATTGTATTTTTTACCCCTTAAAATTAGTTCTGAAATTTTAACTATGTGGAATCATTTCTCTCTTAAAAATCTTCCTTAAATATTTTATTCCTAAAAATTTGAGTTTTTTGCATGTTTTGATTTTATTCTACTTAAGGTTTCAACTTAATAATTATTTCGCATTTACATCGAATAGTTTTGCTTAAATTTGAGTACGATAGTTTTTTTTTCTTCCTTAAATCATTTAGAATAGAAAAATTTTCCGAACTTTGTTTTATTTTTTTATGATAACTATACAAGTTAACTGCGTGAAGTATTTAACTTCTTGATTGAAAAATTAACTATTTAAAAGTTGTTTTTTCATTTGTGTAGGTTTTACTTTGTCAGAAACGTTTTGATTAGTGAAGGTCTCGTGTATTTCTAGAAAAAATTATTCAAATCTCAAAAACTCTCTCTTATAGGTGAAGTTATATTTTCTAACAGTCGACTGGCCTCTTATATGGTCAGAGGGCTGATCTCATGTCAAAAAGCTTCAGCGGGTTCGTATCCCAACTGGCATGGATGCAATTTCCCTTTGTCATATGTCTCTTTCCTATATTGATGGGATGACGTAGGTCTACCTATGGGGTGCCATGAAAAAGAGATCTACTTTACCGACAACTTAGTACTGCAATGATATATGTTGCCAAATGTGGTTGGCATTGGAAAGGGAAAAAAATACTATTTCTTGTGAAAGCAAATGAAAAGCAATAATAATTCACTACTTTTCTGTATATAGATAAAAAATAATTTCAATAATGACATGTAAAGTATGAACAATTTTGCTTCCTTTTAATGTAATTCGCAATGGGCGAATAATTTTAAAAAAAATTTTGAGTTAATTAATAAATTATAATTTTTTACCTTATAATGCTTTCGTATCAACGTAAATGCAAATAGCTTTTGATTTCGAAATGAACATAACAGATTAAAACGTTTACTAAATGAAAAGTAAATCTCAGTACGCAGTTGTTTTTAGTTATTTCGAAATACGTTTTGACAGTTTGCTTCTAAAATATTGACAACTAAACAATCTTCATTATCATAAATATGACATATTCTAATGTAGTTTTTGTTTTCTTTTTTGACAAAAGTTCCTGTCGTATAAACGTTGAGAATATTTCAAAAAGTAAATAATGCCCGAAATTCATTACAAATTTTGCAATTGTCCGAAACTTTTTTTCAAAAAAATTGATTTTTATATGTAAAACCAACGAACTTCTATGAACTTAAATGCTTTCTTAAATAACGAAAAGTATTATATTTGTTTATTTATTCAGAAAACATCAACATATCATAAGGCATTTCTAACAAAATGCAAAGATGTTTTATATATTATGAGTTAACATTAATTTCAGAAAAAAATAAAGATTGTCGGTGGTCCGGGAGGTTAGACCGGGTACCTCAATTGCCTCGAAATAAATTTTTTTTCTAACGGATAAACTCTTAATTTCACTTTATCAATAAAAAAAGAAGGACCTACGGCATTGGAGTATTGTTGTTGACTAATTCATGACATCTGGATAGATAAATTTTTTTTAATTTGCGAGCTCTCTAATGTTTCGTTGCTTCTGACTTCTTATTTATTGTTCGTCACAGTTAAAAAATTATTTTTCGATCAGCTTATTGGACATGATTGCTTAAGATTAATACCTTAACAAATAAAAAGAATTTTGTTCAATATTAGTACTTTTCTGTTACATTTCGATAAACTCTGCTAGACCGGAAGCTGCCCGGTTTCCCCCCACACACACACACAATGCTAGGCTTACGAAAAATACAATACAGTAAAGGAAGAATATAACCACATCCAAGTCTGAACAAAAGCAAAAGTTACTGTGGGATCCTTCCTCAAAGCACAAAAGTTTTATTATATTTTTTATATTTGTAGAATTTTTGAAGACCCTTCATATAAAATTAAAGTTTTTATATAGATTTAACGAAATTCTCTGCAATTTTCTTTTAAGAGAACCAATTAATAAAAACTATTTTTTGTAAAATTTTTGGTACGGCCCTAAGCAATCCTGGGCCTCGGGAGAATACCCCATTTCTCTTTTACAGCCACTTTCGAGTACTGTCCCATTGAGAACTATCTCTCTTTTGAGTGCATCACATATAAATTACATGCATAATTTTCTTAAATTGTCATATAAAAGAGGAATACCTGCTACTTCTTTTACTGAAAATCTCTTATTTCTATATTTTCCATAGAATTAATATGTGTATCCGGTGTTACCCCATTAGCTGGGTAAGAGAAGAAGATTTGAATTTTTTTACGAAGAAAATTTCTTAAGAAAGCTGTGTATATCTAGAAATTTCAAGGAATATATTGCACACAACTAAATAATGTATACCATGATTGAATCTGATAATTTTTAGGTCGAACAGTTTAGCTCCAGCAGGTCTGCGAATCTTAAATACCCTGTCTTTCCCTATTTTCCCCTATATTTCTGCATTTTTCCTACTTTTGCTCTGTCTGGCGTCTTTTCATCCATAAATGCTCATGTGGGTAATATTATTCTGTTCATTATTGGTCATATCTGCTTTTATAAATTTCCTTTATTTAAAAAATTGTCCTCATTGATATCGATATAAAGCCTTTTTACTTAAATATATTATATTAGTAAACACTTATTTAGTTATTATTTAGTTTAAAATAGATAAAAATATAATTGAATTATGAGTTATACATAGTTTGTTCCATTTTTAAAAAAATGCAATTCTCACCAGATGAATTTAATGTAATATAGTTATTTGCCTTATAAAATTCCTTATGTGACTTATTAATATTTGACTTAATATTGCTTCAAATTCAAATATTTTACGCTGTTGAACCACCCATACGAAATTGAAATACAGTTAAAAAAA